TCGTTATGTGTTTTGCCAGAATTTGTACTTACTCAATCATTTCTTTGTTGTTTCTCATGCAATGTTCAAGGCAACATCATCTTCATTAAAGTCATGTAGTAAGATTAAGATTGATAATGATCACCCCTCTTTGTAGCATGGAGTAGTCCTGCACTCATGCCTGGGTTATGTAACAGTGACTCACTTAGTTGGAATGCACCTCCCGTGTCTTAGCTTCGAACTTAAGACAATGGATACATGTACATGACATATAGGCCTATACTGTGAACTTCATCATTCTAGCTGTTGTTGTCGAATAAAGAATACATGTTCTAAGCTCTAAAGTTAAGCATCGTTCGTAGTGTACTTTCTTGCGGTTTCTTGCGGTTGTTGCGGAAACGCGGATATTATCGTGGCAGTTCTAATAAGTAATAAGAGTCCAAGCCGGAGACTACAGGGTGAGTTCGCACGGGAATTACTACAATGGCGTCGTAGACAGGATCCACTGATATGACATCGGACCAGTTTGTGCGGGGTGTTCGGAAACCACGCGGGAGGGTCGGCAGTACCAGTACAGTGTGGAGGCCAGGTTGGGAATTTAATTTTCTCATAGGGGCTTTGGCGACACTGTGGTTTAATTTTCCTCTTGTTTATTGGGTCAACTCCTGTTAATATTTGGAGTGTTGGCATTTAACCACCAAAGAAAAACAATCTAGTTTGTAAAAAAAAAACAACAACAAATCTTTGCAACTAGCAGGAATGGGTCAGTGATAGAGCATGACCACGGCTGTTGTAGAGAAGGAAAAAGTGAATTTTGAGCATGAATTTTGTTCAGCGGGAACGGGTTGCTTTTTTTTCTAAGTGACCTCGGCTGATATACATGCCTACAGAAAGTACAGAAAAGAAAAAAAAGTCAAATAATACAACGGTTGTCCAACAGAGTAACTAGCTGGGAAAGTTTCAGAAAGTTGGGCCTTGTCATAATATTGTGTGTGTTTTATAGCCCAATTCTCTAATCCTGGGTCAGTTGTGTGTTTTATCGTGTATTTTTTGTTGTTCAGATTTTCACTAGAGCACCTTCACTACGGCAGTGTCAGCTTCCTTTCTTGTGTGTACTATACACTTTTCTGATCAGTGATTGTGGCTCTGCTTATCAGACCCCTTCCCTATTCAGCACCTGGTACTGTTTATCAGAACCAACCCCCAGTCAGAATTCTGGCTCTGTTTATCAGAACCAACCCCAAGTCAGCATTCTGGCTCTGTTTATCAGAACCGACTAGAGGCACTGTGGCCCTGTTTACCAGACCCACAGGAACATCAGTTTCCAGTCGGACGATTTCACATTTTGGTGCTAGGACTTCTGGTGCATTGTGCCTGTATATATTTCGTGTTTTGTAGAGGTAACTGCAAAATATAACAAGGAAACAAGCAATAACCAGAGAAATAAAGGGCAAATCAGGAAGTTACCTAAGTTTATTTTTCATTGTGTTACACTTTTTTTAGCCATTTTGTTTGGTGCCTCTATTAAGTCTGCTCGTGTTTAATCTTTTGTAGAGTACCTGTATAATCTTAGTATTTCTTTGCTTGGCTGACTTGCAAACGATGTTTCACGGAGAGTCACCGCTTTGTGAACATCCAATTGATGATGACCTAATCGGTGAAGATACTAGTTCTCATCTACAGCACCCTGAGGGGCCTGGTGGTGAAGACGCAATCAACCCCCCACCACCTAGTACGGAGAACGTGGAAACAACACATGAGGTTGAAGTGTGTCAACTACAGTCACGTTCCATGTTTAGTGTGCGTATGAGTTTGGGCGACACTGAGGTGAGAGCCATTGTGGATACGGCGGCAGAAGTCACCATAATTTCAGATAAAGTCTTCAACTCCCTCAGCCCTAAACCACCGAAAATAAAACATGTCACCCTGCACACCGCGGGAAGAAATATGAAGATGGGTGGCATCATAGCTGGTCCTCTGGACATGACACTGGGTGGAAAATCATTTCAGGAAAATGTCTATGTGGCACCAATTGAAGATGACATGCTGCTTGGTGTAGATTTCTTGAAACGTCACGGGATTGATATCCATATTCAATCATCTGAGCTGGTGATGGATGATCAGAGGATTCACATGGACTTTGGGGCAGGTCAGCCAGTGAACGTGTCTCAGGTCTACGTCCTAAAAACCACAGTGATCCCTCCAAACTCGGTAAAGGGAGTGCCATGTTGCGTGAGTGGGTTGTCTGGCTCAGTACTCTTTGAGCCTACACAGGATCTTGCAGTTATCGCTCCTCGATCTCTCCATGACCCAGGTAGGAGCATGGACATTCTCGTGGTAAACCTGACGGAAAGGCATGTGAAATTGCGGTGTAAACATCAGATTGGTACTGCAGAGGAAGTGGTTGAGATACAAGGAGTTGCTGACAGACCTGAGGAGCAGGGGGAGTGCATCCGTGAAGTAACCACCGATGGAGACCCAGAATTGCCAGAACATTTGCGTGATCTATTCTGTAGGTCAGCAGAGGGCCTCCAACCTGAAGAAAAAATGGATTTGCGGAGGCTGTTGGTAGAATTTGGACACGTGTTCGCAAGGGACGAATATGACTTGGGGAATTTCACTGCCATTGAACACGTGATAGATACGGGAAGTGCTCCACCCGTAAAACATAAGATGAGACGGACACCAGCCAGCTTTGCGGATGGGGAAAGGGCACATCTTCAAAGCATGGAGAAAGCTGGCATCATCCAGCCCTCCATTTCGGAGTGGGCTTCTGCACCAGTATTAGTAAGGAAGCGGGATGGCAGGGTCCGTTGGTGTGTGGACTACCAGAGCCTTAATGCAATCACTCGGAAGGATGTTTATCCTTTGCCGAATATTGAGGAATGTCTAGACACACTGGCAGACACGGTCTGGTTCTCCAAATTGGATGCAAACTCTGCCTACTGGCAGGTGAAAATCAACAAAGATGACAGGAAGAAAACAGCCTTCATCACAAAGTATGGACTGTATGAATTTGTGCGCATGGGATTTGGCTTGTGTAATGCCCCCGCCACATTTTCGCGAGTGATGGACTTGGTCCTTAGGGGACTAAACTGGGACATAGTGTTGGCTTTCCTGGATGATGTTGTTGTCTTGGGAAGTTCATTTTCTGATCACATCGCTCATCTGCGACAAGTATTTCAGCGATTCAGTGACTATCACTTGAAGCTGAAACCGGGGAAATGCGTATTGTTCCAGCAAAAGATTGAGTTCCTTGGCAGAGAAGTCGATCGCAATGGAATGCAGCTCAGGGAAGAGCATGTGGAGGCAGTGAAACACTGGCCAGAGCCCCGAAATACCAAGGAATTGGAGCAGTTTGGTCAATTATCACCGGTCCTTCCTCAAGGACTACGCTTCCAAAGCTGCGCCGCTGTACAGCATCACGGGCAAACACAGGTTTGTCTGGACAGAGGAGCAACAATGTGCCTTTGATGATATCAGGCAGCTACTGACGTCTGCTCCTGTCCTGGCTTTGCCTAATTCAAGAGACCCCTTCATATTGGACACAGATGCCTCCAACATTGCCATTGGAGCGGAGCTCATCCAGGTACAGGGCGGCCAGGAACAAGTCATCGCTTATGGTAGTGTTTCGTTGTCTCCTGAACAACGTCGATACTGTGTAACCAGGCGTGAGTTATTGGCTGTGGTTAAGTTCACCCGTCAGTATCGCCACTACCTACTTGGCAGACCGTTCTTGATCAGGACAGACCACAGTAGTCTTACATGGTTACTGAATTTCAAGGAACCACAGGGACAGATCGCAAGGTGGTTGGAGGAGCTCAGCCAATTCGACACGAGGGTTGAACACCGGCCTGGGAAGAAACAGGCAAATGCGGATGCTCTTTCTCGCATACCGGAAAGTGCATCTACATGCGAGCAGTTTAGGTTGGATATCCGGCCGGAAGACCTTCCATGTCAAGGATGCAACTACTGCCGCAAAGCTCACCAGAACTGGGCTCATTTTGTGGATAAAGTAGATGATGTAGTTCCTCTTGCCACCCAGCCCAAGCAGATAGGTTTGCTTGCCAGCTCGTTTGACGTTGACTGCCAGGTCACGGGTGTAGACATTCTGACTACTGAGGATGGCTCTACAGTTTCAGTAGACGGAGTTGAGTTGTCAGATGGTACTGTCCAGTCGGTGACGGAGGATTTAGGTGACCCTTTTCCCAGGGACCGTGTGCGCACAGAACAAGAAAAGATGCAACTTTGACGCACTTGCGACACTGGCTGATTACTCAGGAAGAGCCGTCTGAGGGCACCATTATGCTTTGGGGTCCAATCCAGAAAAAGATGTGGGTAAACCGAGACCTGTATCATATCGATAGTGGCATTCTTTGGAGGAAGATAGGGGACACCAATGTACTAGTAGTTCCTCAGACGCTGCAGGGGCAGATCATCGAGATGAACCATGATTTACCCTCTGCGGGTCACGCCGGCATTGACAGAACTATTGCAAGAATCAAGTCCAAGTATTATTGTTGTGGAATGACGGAGGATATCAAGAAGTATGTCATCTTGTGCTCTGTGTGTAATCAGAATAAGAAGGCCACAAGACACCCCAAATGCCCGATGATTGAGTACCACGCTGGTTTGCCAATGGAGAAGGTCCACTTAGACTTCCTTGGACCATTGCCCAAAACACCCCGTGGCAATGAATACATCCTGATGATGGTAGATCAGTTTACCAAGTGGGTTGAATGCATACCGTTACCATCCCAAACAGCAGAGGTTACAGCCCAGGCAGCTGTCAGTAGCTTCTTTAGCAGGTTTGGCTACCCTCTACAGATTGTAACAGATCAAGGCCGTAACTTTGAGAGCAAGTTGTTTTCCAACTTATGCAAGGTCCTTCAGATCCACAAAGCGAAAACTACCCCATATAGACCATCAGCTAATGGCCAGGTTGAGAGGTACAATCGTACTCTCATGGATGCGGTCAGATGTTATGTGGGGAAATCCCAAAACCAGTGGGATAAGCACTTGGATCAAATAGCGGGCGCAGTTCGATCAACAGTAAACTGCAGTACTGGGTTCATGCCTAGCATGCTAATGTTGGGCCGAGAGACCAACCAGCCTGTGGATCTGATGTTTCCCTTCCCCCCGTCTGCAAAGACAGTGGGCAGTATCGATGAATACTGTTCAGATCTGGCTCAAGCCATCAGTAGCGCCCACGAAGCGGCCCGAACAACCCTTCGTTCCACACAGAAATGAATGAAACGAGATCACGATGTGAAGGTCCATAAGTGGGATTACAAGGAGGGGGATTGGGTGTATTTACTTGACGCTGCAGTTGTCAAGGGCAAGTGCAGGAAGCTGAGCCCGCCTTGGAAGGGGCCTGCATTGATCACAAGGAAGCTTTCTCCGTACCTATACCGGGTGGAATACAAGAACATCACATTCACTGTAAATCATGATCACCTCAAACGGTGCCGGGACCGCAAGACCCCAGATAAAGGGAAGGAGAGTGGCAGTCCGGCAAAGGAAGCTTACTCTTTTTGCAGGAAGCCTGACGATGGGAATTTCATGATTCAGTGCGATGGATGCGACGAGTGGTACCATGGCCAGTGTGTTAACGTGCCACCAGAAGACGGCATGGCAATGGACAAGTATACCTGTCCATTGTGCAAGGTTTCCAAATAAGGAATTTCTTCATCGTTTTCTTTATTTTTCCCTTTTTTTTCAGTTCAATCGTCATGGACAGTGACACAGACAGTGACAGCCCTAGGCAGAGCTGGGCAGTCCCTGAGTGTTGCTACAGAGTTCAACCAAGCCTGATGCTCCAGGGAGGAGCGCTGACGTTTGAGTAACCGGGGGGAGAGAAAGGATCATTCTGAGAAGAGAATGGAGAGGAAGCGCAAGCACTCACCCATCACAACGGCACCGAAAAGGCGCAAACAATCATGTCCAATTAAGGGATGTGATCACACCACAAACAAGTTGAAGTGGCATGTGTACTATCATCTACCGGAGTACTACCGCATCTCTAAGACAACGGAGCGCCTCCAACCCACCTACCAGAAATTGAGAGTGATTGGATTAGTCTTTCTCAGCAAAACCCTTGTTGGGGAAACTGTGACTGTGTCTGACCTCGTCAGCTATGCAAACCGACGCTGGACAGATCGCGGAAGCACCATTTCTGCAGAAGTTGAAGCAGAGATGTACACTCTATCTATACAACAAGGCTGGCCAAGAGTGCCCGAATTCACCTTGGGCCCAATCAACTCACCTGCTGCTCTAATTCACTGGCGCCCCCTGAGTTTTCTCTTCAATCAACTGAACAAAGCACAACAGGAGGAGTTCAGGAACCTGTCCATCAACGATGCAGATACCCCCGACCCGCATCATGTTCAAGAAATCGTTTTGGAGGGAATCGATAGCCATTTTCATTTGGACAGACTGGAGGACTCCTTAGGCAGAGAGGGATTGGAATGCATTCAGGAGACCCTAGATAGAAGGCCAGATCACACCATAGTCCTGTCAGGAGGAGTGATTAATTACTATGACCCAGAGCATTACCACAGGATACTTTTTTCAGCCGACTCGCGATGGAAGGTTGCAGTAGGAGTCCATCCGAAGAAAGTCTCCAGGATGACAGAACAACAGTGGGACCAACTGCAACAACTTCTGGCGCATCCCCAAGTTATTGCAATAAGTGAGGTCGGGTTGGATTTTTCCATATCCAAAAACACCTGGGACAGGCAAACACAGTTCCTAGAGCATCTCCTGAACCTTGGCACTCTGGGGTTCGTCCTTGTGGTCCATTTACGAGGTGCCAGAGGTGACCCGACTGGAGTGCAGGTGCAGGAGATGTGCCGAGGAATACTTCAACAAAAATGCTCCAGGTACCAACGGATACATCTACACTCTTTCACTGGGAACCGACAACAGATGGAGGCTTGGCTGACAGTGTTTCCCAACTGCTACCTGGGCTTCTCAGCACTCACCAAGAACTTCTGTCTGGAGCAACTGGAAGCCCTCCGCTGTGCACCATTGGACAGAGTTCTTTTGGAGACAGATTCTCCTCATTTCAGAGTTCATTCGACCAGAGTCAACACACCAGCCTATCTGGGGGACATTGGAAGTCTCGTCGCTAACGTTAAGCAGATAGCGCTAGCAGAAGTCATGCAGGCGACGACAAAGAACG